CATGTACCTAGATATCAGATCAGAACAGATCACCAACATGTCCCTTGATATCAGATCAGAACCGATCACCAACATGTACCTAGATATCAAAACAGATTATGGTGTGATTTTTGTAAGTAGCCAAATATTAATTGTATATTTCAGACACTAAATGGAAACACTTTTAAACACTGATATGCTTGTACATATATCGTAGACGCCCTTATATACAAATACCATATTTTAATTACTTACTTGAATATGAGGAAACAGATTATTGTGAAGCTCAACCCTATGATTGAGAGCACCAGTCCAATGATCGTTATGACGCTTAGTGCCAGTTGGTGGGCCTTAACGTAATTCCCCTGTGCTTCAAAATCCTAGAATAAAAGTAAAAGTAATATTTTATTTTTTTCAGAGTATTTTAGTCATCAAGTAGCACTTAGGCGACATTATACATCAATGACCCTGGTCAGTGGCATTTAAAAAAAAAAATATTTCTGTTAAATTAATTTCAGCTAAAATCTCCTGAAATACATGTAAATAAACGTAACACACCATTTTTTTTTTAATCACAAGTATTTTCAAATAAGGTGAAAACTGTTTTTTTACTCACAATGAGAATAGCAAAATTCGTGAGATGGTCACACACGCATATCGCTCGGTCGCCATCGTAACTTTGCAGGCTACATCCATCGGTTGACCAGCCTCCAGAGTTGTCTTTCTTACTATAATCCCAGTACCCACACACGAGTCCCTCCGTTTGCTGTATAAATAGATGCCAGCACATTCTCAGAATTTAATCACAGAAGCTGTTGTAAAAGTTAGTTTCATGATATCAAAGATAGCAAACTTTATCATTTTAAGCCTCATGACAAATAACGACTGAAAAGCGGGAAATGATTGGCGTTATTTCAATATATACCCGGGTTCAATAGTAAGCAGTATTAAAATTCTTAAATATGAAAAGCTTCAGATCCTTAAAGAGACTCCACAATGAAGTTTGGTCCGCCAATATCCCCCAGCCCCAGCAGACAACACATAAGAAACCTCCCCCAGCCCCAGCAGACAACACATCAGAAACCTCCCCCAGCCCCAACAGACAACACATAAGAAACCTCCCCCAGCCCCAGCAGACAACACATCAGAAACCTCTGATTCTGTACGTGTAACAAGGGGTGAGCAGATCAAGTTTGGTCCGCCAATATCCCCCAGCCCCAGCAGACAACACATAAGAAACCTCCCCCAGCCCCAGCAGACAACACATCAGAAACCTCTGATTCTGTAAGTGTAACAAGGGGTGAGCAGATCAAGTTTGGTCCGCCAATATCCCCCAGCCCCAGCAGACAACACATAAGAAACCTCCCCCAGCCCCAGCAGACAACACATAAGAAACCTCCCCCAGCCCCAGCAGACAACACATCAGAAACCTCTGATTCTGTAAGTGTAACAAGGGGTGAGCAGATCAAGTTTGGTCCGCCAATATCCCCCAGCCCCAGCAGACAACACATAAGAAACCTCCCCCAGCCCCAGCAGACAACACATAAGAAACCTCCCCCAGCCCCAGCAGACAACACATAAGAAACCTCTGATTCTGTAAGTGTAACAAGGGGTGAGCAGATCAAGTTTGGTCCGCCAATATCCCCCAGCCCCAGCAGACAACACATAAGAAACCTCCCCCAGCCCCAGCAGACAACACATAAGAAACCTCTGATTCTGTAAGTGTAACAAGGGGTGAGCAGATCAAGTTTGGTCCGCCAATATCCCCCAGCCCCAGCAGACAACACATAAGAAACCTCCCCCAGCCCCAGCAGACAACACATAAGAAACCTCTGATTCTGTAAGTGTAACAAGGGGTGAGCAGATCAAGTTTGGTCCGCCAATATCCCCGAGCCCCGGCAGACAACACATAAGAAACCTCCCCCATCCCCAGCAGACAACACATCAAAAACCTCTGATTCTGTAAGTGTAACAAGGGGTGAACAGATCAAGTATGGTCCGCCAATATCCCTCAGTCCCAGCAGACAACATATAAGAAACCTCCCCCAGCCCCAGCAGACAACATATAAGAAACCTCCCCCAGCCCCAGCAGACAACACATAAGAAACCTCTGATTCTGTAAGTGTAACAAGGGGTGAGCAGATCAAGTTTGGTCCGCCAATATCCCCGAGCCCCGGCAGACAACACATAAGAAACCTCCCCCAGCCCCAGCAGACAACACATCAAAAACCTCTGATTCTGTAAGTGTAACAAGGGGTGAACAGATCAAGTATGGTCCGCCAATATCCCTCAGTCCCAGCAGACAACATATAAGAAACCTCCCCCAGCCCCAGCAGACAACATATAAGAAACCTCCCCCAGCCCCAGCAGACAACACATAAGAAACCTCTGATTCTGTAAGTGTAACAAGGGGTGAGCAGATCAAGTTTGGTCCGCCAATATCCCCGAGCCCCGGCAGACAACACATAAGAAACCTCCCCCAGCCCCAGCAGACAACACATCAAAAACCTCTGATTCTGTAAGTGTAACAAGGGGTGAACAGATCAAGTATGGTCCGCCAATATCCCTCAGTCCCAGCAGACAACATATAAGAAACCTCCCCCAGCCCCAGCAGACAACATATAAGAAACCTCCCCCAGCCCCAGCAGACAACACATAAGAAACCTCTGATTCTGTAAGTGTAACAAGGGGTGAGCAGATCAAGTTTGGTCCGCCAATATCCCCGAGCCCCGGCAGACAACACATAAGAAACCTCCCCCAGCCCCAGCAGACAACACATCAAAAACCTCTGATTCTGTAAGTGTAACAAGGGGTGAACAGATCAAGTATGGTCCGCCAATATCCCTCAGTCCCAGCAGACAACATATAAGAAACCTCCCCCAGCCCCAGCAGACAACATATAAGAAACATCCCCCAGCCCCAGCAGACAACACATAAGAAACCTCCCCCAGCCCCAGCAGACAACACATAAGAAACCTCCCCCAGCCCCAGCAGACAACACATCAGAAACCTCTGATTCTGTAAGTGTAACAAGGGGTGAGCAGATCAAGTTTGGTCCGCCAATATCCCCCAGCCCCAGCAGACAACACATAGGAAACCTCCCCCAGCCCCAACAGACAACACATAAGAAACCTCCCCCAGCCCCAGTAGACAACACATAAGAAACCTCTGATTCTGTACGTGTAACAAGGGGTGAGCAGATCAAGTTTGGTCCGCCAATATCCCCCAGCCCTAGCAGACAACACATCAGAAACCTCCCCCGGCCCCAGCAGACAACACATCAGAAACCTCCCCCAGCCCCAGTAGACAACACATAAGAAACCTCCCCCAGCCCCAGCAGACAACACATCAGAAACCTCTGATTCTGTACGTGTAACAAGGGGTGAACAGATCAAGTTTGGTCCGCCAATATCCCCCAGCCCCAGCAGACAACACATCAGAAACCTCCCCCAGCCCCAGCAGACAACACATGAGAAACCTCTGATTCTGTAAGTGTAACAAGGGGTGAGCAGATCAATTTTGGTCCGCCAATATCGTCCCCAGCAGAAGACTCAGAAGAAACCCCATACTACGCAAGGGGTCCCACGTTACTGTCCTCTGACGACATGTAGTAGAATACAGCACACGTATAGTCCCTAACCCTAACCAAAGGGGTCCCACGTTACTGGCCTCTGACGGCATGCAGTAGAATACAGCACACGTATAGTCCCTAACCCTAACCCAAGGGGTCCCACGTTACTGGCCTCTGACGACATGCAGTAGAATACAGCACACGTATAGTCCCTAACCCTAACCAAAGGGGTCCCACGTTACTGGCCTCTGACGACATGCAGTAGAATACAGCACACGTATAGTCCCTAACCCTAACCCAAGGGGTCCCACGTTACTGGCCTCTGACGACATGCAGTAGAATACAGCACACGTATAGTCCCTAACCCTAACCCAAGGGGTCCCACGTTACTGGCCTCTGACGACATGCAGT